CTACAATTTTTATTATTATTTATTATTTATATAATTGCAGGACATGTGGCATCCTCCTACTCATTTGAAGGTTATGAGAAGTTATGAAATGTGAAAAGATAATGGAGAATAAAGTGGAGAACATGGAGCATGAATTGGAGGTTAAAGGAAGTTATGAAGACATTGAGGGATATGTGGCATTATGGGAATAAAGATGGAAGAGTGGGTAGTTTTAGGTGGTTATTGAGTAGTTATTGCTGGAAGTTTTTTCCTACAAATATTTGCCTATAAATAGCCATTTATGGATACATTGTAAAGGATCCAGAATTCAAATCAAAGACAATTGATTTCAATATTTCTTGTCATTTTCCTTATCTTAGGAGTAGTTTAACATAGATTTATATTTCGAAACATTTATTTTCAGCATTTCCTTTTCAAAGCATTTTATGTACTTCCTTTTCGAAGCATATGAGTAGAGGTAAGTAATTATTATTTTGATTGTTCACTCAATTGTCTTTCTCCATCTCCCTCATTCTTCTTTTAATTTTTCTTTTCTCTACACTTGGCAATTTTGAAGTCCTCTTCGTTGAGGCAAAGAACCGTCAACGCAATCGCTTGATAATTGGCTTGAATTTAATCTGTATGGATTTTTCAATCCTTGCTGGCACGCTCGCATTTATAATATTTTCCTTCATAGAAAAAATAAGCCAACAATTTTTGGCACGCCCAGTGGGACTGCCAAGTGTAAGAAATGACAAACGATTTGGATTTCGACATTCGAACTTGTCAATATGAAATATATTGGTGTGAAAGAAAAATTTTAGATTTTCAAGAAAAGATCCATTTTCTTGATGGAAAAAATTTCCAAGTTGTTTCTTCATTACCATATTATTTGGTAAAAGAAAAAATACACCACTTAATTGGAGTAACTCATCAACTTGATGTAGAAATTTGCCAATGGAGACATGAGTTATTAACCATTTTTGTCAAGTCTTTAATGACTGAATTTTGTGGAGTTTTACAAAATGTTTTAAAGTCATTTGTGACTGAAATTAATGAAAATATAATTTCATCAATGGCTGGGGGGGTCGAAAAACCCATTTTTAAAAAGCCAACTTATGAAAATAACTTTGATAAAAAGCATGTTGTTGAGTCATGCATGGTTAAAAATAATGTTCCATATAAAGCTCGGGGGGTTGAAAAAATCATTCTTAAAGAGTCAAAGCATGGAAACAACATGTCTATGAAGGATTTTCATTAGCCATTAATGGCTAAAATGTAACAACCCATTAGGCCAAACAATGATGAAACTCACATGAAGGGTTTTCATAAGCCGTTAGTGGCTAAAATAGAAAAATAGCCCCATTTGTCAATAAATGATGAAAGTTATTTGGCTAAAAAACATGTTCTCAACCCAAACATGGCTAAGAATGATGAACAATTTAATGTTCATGAATTTGAATTTTTTAAAATTGTTCAAAATGTCAAGTTGTTTGAATTTTTAAGGCCATCTTGTACTATGGTTCTTGGTGTTCAAAACCTGCTTTGGATTTGTGGATCACACCAAAAATATAATTCTGATGATGTGGCTAATAAAATTAACAAATTGTTCTTATGAGTTCGAAGCACTAAGAACAGGGGATGACCATTTAAAATGCATGAACTTGGCTAGGAAAAGCCCATGCAGTTAAATAAGTGGTTGAGAATGGCTTATCTTTTCAAATTGATGGCCAGTTGTTTGTATGTACACAATCAAAGCAACGAAGATACATTCAAAGCATCAAGAGTTGTTTCGAAGGTTGATTACTTCACCTTCGAGGCTGTATAAAGCTTTGAAGATACATTCGAAGCATTAAGAGTTGTTTCGAAGGTTGATTACTTCATTTTTGAAACTGTATAAAGCTTCGAAGATACATTCGAAGCATCAAGCCTAACCTTGAAACTTCATTATAAGTATCATCATCCTATATCAATGCTTCCAACCTTCAAGGGGTGATATTGTTCCTTCAAAGCTGTGCCGCAAGACCTTCAAACGATGAATGTGGTCTTTTATACTACCTTCGAAGCTTGTTATTGGTCATCTAATCATAATTTCATACTCATTCGAAGCACTTTATTGGTGTTATTATATCATTCGAAACACTTTATTGCTTAGATTAGTCATGTGCTTGGTTCGGCCCTTCAAAAATTCAAGTAAACATCATTTTTAAGGGTCGCGGGGGGTAATGTTGGCACCATAAACCTGCAATTTTTATTATTATTTATTATTTATATAATTGCAAGACATGTGGCATCCTTTTACTCATTTGGAGGTTATGAGAAGTTATGAAATGTGAAAAGATGATGGAGAATAAAGTGGAGAACATGGTGCATAAATAGGAGGTTAAAGGAAGTTATGAAGATATTGAGGGATATGTGGCATTATGGGAATGAAGATGGAAGAGTAGGTAGTTTTAGGTGGTTATTGGGTAGTTATTGCTGGAAGTTTTTTCCTACAAATATTTGCCTATAAATAGCCATTCATGGCTACATTGTAAAGGATCCAGAATTCAAATCAAAGACAATTGATTTCAATATTTCTTATCATTTTCCTTATCTTAGGAGTAGTTTAACATAGATTTATATTTCGAAACATTTATTTTCAGCATTTCCTTTTCGAAGCATAGGAGTAGAGGTAAGTAATTATTATTTTGATTGTTCACTCAATCGTCTTTCTCTATCTCCCTCATTTTTCTTTTAATTTTTCTTTTCTCTACACTTGGCAATTTTGAAGTCCTCTTCGTTGAGGCAAAAGAACCGTCAACGCAATCGCTTGATAATTGGCTTGAATTTAATCTGTAAGGATTTTTCAATCCTTGCTGGCACGCTCGCATTTATGATATTTTCCTTTATAGGAAAAATAAGCCAACAGTAACTACGGGGTTGTTTGGGGTGTCCTAAACAAGTGCACTTTTTGTCTTTTAAGACTAAAAAGTTGAGGAAAAAAATATGGAAGTTTGGGTTAACTTTTTGACTTTTTATGAAAAAATGTATATTAAAAAATTATATTAATAAGTGTGTCAGAGAAGATATAATAAAGAGATGGTACGGATTGGCAGTGGACCGGTTGGGTGAGTAGATGAGGAATTATTGTCTCCTTCTCGGGCTTTGATTAGATGGTGTTGTTTGGCCCGTGGGGCCCTACCAGGGGTTCCGTTTTTCTAATCGGAACCGTTTGATGTGTAGAAATCGTCGAGTAATATACATTTGTAAAAAATCACATTGATTGGATATCGATAGCTATCTGATCGTGTTAGTTTTTCTTGTTAACTGTTAACTATAACACTATCCATTTTCATACAAAACTGATGTGATCATGTAGTTAGTGATATCCGATAGAAGTGATTTTTTATAGGAATATAGTACTAGACGAGTTCTACATATTGAACGGTTCATATTATCAAAACGAGACCCATGGTAGGCCCCCACAGGCCCAACTTTACCATCTAATTTAGTTAATATTCTACTACAAATTTTTTTTTCCTTTGTCAGCGACCGACAGCGTCACGTTAGCGACTGATTTGGGCCAACTTTTTGATTTGTATTAATATTTATATATTAATTTTTTAATATTTTTTTTGATACACTACGCCAAAATTGGGCTTTAGCGGCGGTTTTTTACCGCCGTTAAAGGATGTAAAACCGCTGTTAAAGCCTTTAACGGCGGTAATTTAGGACCGTCGTTTATACTCGTGTCGGAAAAGGTACAACCATCGTAAAAGGGTAAATTACCGTTGTTAAAAAGTCGACCAAAAACGGCAGTAATATAGGACCAAAAACGGCGGTTTTTTACCGCCGTAAATAGGTTCAAATTTTTAAAAAAGTAATTCTCTCTTCTTGCACCCCTCAGGTCTCAAACCCTTGACCTCTAATCCACGCACGCCAACCACTCCACCACATCCACTCTATATGAAATATATTCCCTAAATAAATATTTAAACATTACTTTTGCTTTCTTGTAGATGGTCATGTTCAACCTCTGGCCACGCGTGGTCACCATTCGCCGGAGTTCCGCCGGAGCTCTGCCGGCAAAGACCGCCGTCATTAATGGCGGTAATGAGAGGGCTTTAGCGGCGGTTTCGTTACCACCGTTAAAAGAGGGCTTTAGTGGCAGTTTTTTTAACAGCGGTTTCATTAGCACTGTTAAAGATACTTTAGCGACGATTTTTTTAATGGCGGTAATGAAACCGTCGTTAAAGATACATTAACGGCGATATTAACAACGGTTTCGTTCCCGCCGTTAACAGTATCTTTAACGACGATAACGAAAACCGCCGTTAAAAAAATCGCCGTTAATGCCTTGTTTTGACGTAGTGATAAATAGTGATAATTTTTTAATTTTTTAAATAACTTTTTAACTTTTTAGATTTTTCTAAACTTGTCAAACTTAGCCTAAATGTTTACATCAATAATTGCCAATATTGTCTCACATCTATGTATCTATGTGTGAAACTTTCTGTGCACATGTAGAATTTTTCATAAAATGCAACACATGCTCAGTAGAGGAGAGAGAAACTTTTTGTAGTAGTTCATATCAGACATGTCATAAATGACGGCTACACTGATATCTTGTCTTGGGAAGTAGGTTGACTTTTTAATTTTTGATTTTTTAAACTATTTTAGTTTTTTTTTTTTTGAAAGAGCAACAACAAAATTTTATTAAAAATAAAAAGAGAAAGAGGACAAGAAGTCCTCATACAAGGAAAGAAAGAAAAAGAGTGAAACAAAAACAAAAAAGTCATAGCCCTAGGTAAGGCAAACATCGGCCCAATCCCTAGAGATCAAAAACAAGGGAACTCCTTTAAAAGGAGGGGATACAAAGGCCCAAAAAGACGCAAAATAATTCATCCTATCCCACAAAGTCTCTACACTTGCTTCCTTGTCATCAAAGATTCTAGCATTTCTCTCCAACCATATAGCCCAAAAAATAGCAAAAACAATACATGCCTACATTGTTTTGGCTCTCTTGGTTCTCCCAAACCCTATAAACCGAATAAGAAGCATCTGAATACAGTCCCGCGGAGCAACCCACTGCTCATCACATAAGCTGAATAACCGCTGCCATAATACACGAGCCATCGGCAATGAAGAAATAGATGATCCGCTTCCTCCAAGTTCCTCTTGTACATCACACACCATTGAGGACAAAGAGAGTAATTAGGCCTTCTCCTTTGGAAAATATCATTAGTTGTTACACCCTTTTGAGTCAAAGACCACATGAAAAACTTCACTTTATGAGGGACATCCACTTTCCAAATTTTCTTATGATAAAGAAACAAGGAAATAGAAGGATTATCAATGAGCTTATCAAATAAAGATTTATATGAAAAGACACCTGAAAAACCCAGATTCCACACCCTAATATCACAAGATGTAGAAAGAGAGACCCCCTCAAGCACTACCAACAAAAATGCCAGCTCCCCCGCCTCCCTATCATTCAAGTTTCTAATAAAATCAAAATTCCAAGAGATGAGTGCCATAAAAGAACAAGCCACCGACGCTATCGAAACATTTGAAGAACGAACCAACCGATAAAGAAGAGGAAAAACTCTATCAAACAAGATATCCCCTAACCAAACGTCCTCCCAAAAGCGAATGTTCACCCCATTCCCCACTCTCAAAGAAAAGTAGTTAGACACGAGGATACAAACGAGAAATGGATTTCCACGGTGAACGACAATTGCCTCTAGTAACCACATTAGAATCTCTACCATTGGGTTGAACTCCATACTTGCTTTTAATAACTGAACACCATAGCGAATCACTTTCAATCGAAAATCTCCACAACCACTTGCCCAAAAGAGCAATATTCCTAGCAACGATATTTCCAATAGCTAATCCACCCTTTTCCTTAGGAAGAGAAACCGTATCCCATCTAACCAAATGAAACCCTGTGCCCTCTCCACACCCTTCCCAAAGAAAGTCTCTCATCAATTTCTCAATTTTCCTCGCAATGCTAATCGGGATTTTGAAAATGGATAAGAAATAGATAGGAACAGATCCTAATACGGATTGTACCAAAATATATCTCCCCCCTTTAGACAACAAAGCTCGCTTCCAACCCTCCAAACATTTCCCAATTTTGACAAGAACAGGTTCCCAAAAGGGCGCCAATCTAGGATCTCCACCTAATGGGAGCCCTAAGTATTTGATAGGAAAGGACTCAATAGAACAGCCCAACATATCCGCTACCCTACGCACATAACTATCATTCAAATTAATACCCACAACACTGCTCTTGCTAAGATTGACCTTAAGGCCCGACACAATTTCAAAAATTCTCAGAACCTGTAGTAAACACCCCACTTTATTTTCCTCCTTTGATGAAAAGAATATAGTATCATCCGCAAATTGTAAATGAGTAACTTCAATCCTATCCCTTCCCACCACAAACCCCTCAATGACACCCTTATCCTTAGCTAAATCAATAATCCTACCCAGCACATCAGTAACCAAAATAAACAAAAATGGTGATAAAGGATCGCCCTGTCTTAGACCCCTAGATGCTAGAAAAGAATCCCTAGCTTTACCGTTCACAATGACCGACATATTACATGACGACAAGCACCCCCAAATCCACTTTCTCCACCTAACTCCAAACTCCTTCCTTTCTAAAACAAAATCCACAAAGCCCCAATCAACATGATCATATGCCTTCTCGAAGTCTACCTTGAATACAACACCATCATTACGTAGCCCCCTATACTCCTCCACAACCTCATTAGCCACTAAAACTACATCCAATATCTGCCGACCCTGCACGAACGCACCTTGTGCCAAAGAAATAGTTTCCCCAAGGACAACTCTAAGTCTCCTAGAAAGCACCTTTGCTAAAATCTTATAGAGAGAAGTAACCAGACTAATGGGTCTAAAATCCCCAATCTTGACCGACCCCTCCTTCTTGGGAATTAGACAGATAAAGGATGCATTGGTACACAAATTAACCTTCCCACTCTCAAAGAACTCACCAAACACTCTGAAGAGATCATTTTTTACAATATCCCAACAATCTTGAATACAGCCATTGAAAAACCATCCGGACCTGGAGCCTTATCTCGCTCACACTCAAATACAGCCTGTCTTATTTCATCCTCCTCAAAAGGCCTTTCAAGCCAATCAGCCGTCATTACCTCCACTGGAGCCCAGTTAATTCCAATAATCCCTGGACGATCCACACCCCCGTCAAAATATAAATTTGAATAAAAATTAAAAATCTCCTTGACAATAAGCTCCTCCTTACACACAACCTCATTCTGATCCACTACCAAGTTTTTTATAAAACTCTTCTTTCTCTTTCTCGATGCAACTCTATGATAAAATCTGGAATTGGTATCTCCCACTCTAGCCCATTTTAACTTAGCTCTTTGACCCCATAAAATCTGCTCTCTAAAAACAATCTCTTCCAGCTTCACTTTGAGCATTGACCGCCTATCCCTTAACGCTCCAGATAAACCCTCTCCGGCCTCCTTCACATCTAATTCCTCAATATCCCGAATTAAACCCGCTTTCACCGCACCTATATCCCCAAAAACTTCTCGTTTCCAAACTTTTAAATTATCCTTGACTCCTCTCAACTTTCGCATAAACTTAAAGCCCTCCCACCCATGGACTCTACCATTTTCCCACCAACCCTTAAAGAACTCCTTAAAAGATCGATGTTCCAACCACATATTCTCGAACCTGAATGGGGTGGGACCCCATTTAAAAGGACAGCTCTCAAAAATCACAGGACAATGATCTGACACAACTCTTGGCCCAACCTCTTGCCTTATGTCCGGAAATAACTACTCTCATCCTAAAGTATAAAGAAACCTGTCCAATCTGCAACACACCCGATTTTCCTGAAGGTTAGACCAAGTGAACCGTGCATTACTCAAAGGAAGATCAATCAACTCACAATCCCTTATAAAAGAATCGAAATCCCTCATACTTCTACTGGTGAAAACCCCATTGAGTTTTTCCGAAGCGAGCCTAATCACATTGAAATCCCCACCCACACACCAATTAGGGGAACAAAGCCCAAACAATCCTACTAACTCATCCCACCATTACGATCCCCAGATCTATTAGGACCATACACCCCTGTCAACCACCATTCCTTATTATCCTTATTCCTGAACCTAATAGACAAAGAAAATACCCCAACAACAACCTCACACTCCACTACAACTCTCTCATCCCACATAATCAACATTTCCCCTGATCTTCCCCTAGAAGGCAGTACAGCCCATCTCCTAAATCGAGTCCCCCAAACACTCCTAATAAACATCCTATCACACTCCTCACACTTTGTCTCTTGAAACATCACTATGTCTGGTTGTTGCATTTTCAGAACCTCTTTAACTACGTCCCTTTTCCTACGAGACCGTAGTCCTCTAACATTCCAACTGACGATCTTCATCGAGAACCATCATTACCTCTTGTCTCATTTCCCCGACCCTCATAATTGATGCTACTTTCAAGATTTCTTAATTCCCTCAACCCTTTCCTTCGCCCCGATCCTCTATGACTGCCACCCCCCTTAAATGTAAACCTCTCCCTCCTAGACCGATTCTTCCCACCTCGACTTACTAATTCCAGCCCAAGAGTATCAAGTAATTGTGCAAAATGAGGCACATCATCCTCCTCCAAAGGGAAGGACACATACTTACTCATTTTCCTTAACCACTTTGCCAACTCATCACCATCGTGACCACAAACATTGTTCCTCTGAAGCCTATGATTAGGAGACTCCTCCATTAAAAGATCATTTCTATGAGTGTCCATATTACTCGCCTGTGGGATCAAACTGCCACTGGTAGAATTTCTATTTGTATTTAACAGAGGCCAATTATCATTCTTGTTAGAAACCATTATACCCACAGATGACTCCCCCACCACCCCTCCCCTAACAGACACAGAATGAATACCCTGAATATTACAAGGAGGTGAAGAATTCATGTCGTCCCTGTCAAAAGAGTCACAAACCTTTTCTCCAGAGTCAAAGACTACCTCACCCTCAGTCCCCACAGTGTGCTGTTTACAAGATGAAAATGGAACCTCCTCTTCATGGAAAAGCGAATTAAGATTCGGATAAAAATCATCAGCCCTCTCCTCCTCGGTATAAGCAGCGACTTCCTCATTGGGGCCCAGAGAGTCATCAGAACTTTCATGTGACCCATAACCTTCCAATGCTTGGAGCACCCCTTGTGGGTCGCAAATACCCACATCCACTTCATTAATCATTCGATCAACACCAGGAAAAATTTCAAGTGCATCATCATTATCAGCTTTGTCCATTCCATCAACTCCAATGGGTCGCCCAATCTGCAGGAATTGCCCTGTCGATCGATCAACCACATCCGCCAAGCCCAAATGAATTTCATTTGGGTTTAACCCATCCTGTTGATTCATACCTCGTTGGTCAATCCCGTGCTCCATACTGATGTTACGAGTCGCAAACTCCACACCCTGCAATTTTCGACTGTCGCTACCATATGACTTATCTCCCCTCTGATTCACTATCTGGATCCTATCGTTCTCACTATCGAAGATACCCATCGACTGCCTAACTCGGCAAAACCCTTGGTTCGAACCTGGAACAAAATTACCCGATTGATCTGGGTTAAGCCCCTCACACCTCAGATTATGAGAACAACCTTTATGGCCCAATGAACCATCTTCCACATGGTTAGAAACTTGGCCCAAACTATGGTTACAATTTGAGCCCAGATTAATACCCTCCTTATCACCCATCTGTTTTTTATTTGATTCATGAGAGAGGCCCAAAACTGGCCAAGGCCCAATATCACCCATCAGCCCATCTCCTTCTAAAAAACCCTCTCCTGATCTGTATCGCCCATTGTCGATACAAACAATATCGCCTCTTGGCCTTCCCTCATCGTTGACATTCCTTGCTTCGAAAATGCGATTATCATCGTGAACCCCAAATTCCTTGGGAACCAGACAGCCACGTGTCCCATCTGTCCCCTCAACCTTATCATCTTCCCTACCTCCGGTCCGAAGCTCCGATGAAAGCCCATGCCGGAAACTCCATTGCCGATGGCCCTCTCTGCGTTTAACAGCTTTCGAAAGCGCCTTCACACGCACTGTGATTGCACCTTCATCCGTCGAAATCTCCACGGTTGATGGTAAAAACCTAGAATTCGATCCTTTCACCTTCAATCTTGCCTCAAAAAGATTTTCGAAAGTCTTGGTTCTTTTATCCACTGTTAATAGCCCTCCACATTTCGCACCAATTTGTTCAAAAATTCTTATATTCCATAATTTGAACGGCAAATCACAAATTGTGACCCATCCTCCATATGAGGCAACAACATTAGATTTTCCATGCTTCTCTTCAGTCCACCTCTCCAATATTACTACAATGCCTTTATCAAAAAATTGCAAACCTTTATCCCCGTAGAACATAGCTATCTCCTTGGTTTTGGTGAAGAATAAAGCTCGATTCAGCTGAAAGGGACGTAACTTGATAGATAATTTGAAAGACTTACATAATACCTTCTCTATTTGCTCCCAAGATATGAAAAAATCTGTTCTCTCACACACCACGGCATAATGGAGAGCTAACGAAGAATCATGTGATACAGAAAATGGTGCTTGATGCTTAAGAACCTCCGCGTACGACCTACTTCTGATCACCCCTGTTTTCTCTTGATGACTCAAGTCCTCTGTATTTACCTCCTTATTTACCCCATTCTGCTGAACATCATCTTTAAGCTCATTTGCCATAGTCAAATGTCTTATCTGTTTTCCTGCATCCTTTTCTTCAGAACCTCTCACGTGGTTCTTCTGCCTTGTTCCAAATAGGATAGTATCAAGTAACCCAGCCACATCTTTCCACCCTTGTCGATTGACCCCTGCTGGAATGATAATGCTTAATCTCCTTATCCCAGCAACCCACTTGGATAACTCCACAAATTCACCTTTCCTATTAGAATAACTCTGAAGACAAAAGACAGTAGAACTGTTCGTATACTTCCTGAAGAAGTACCCCACCGCATTTGTAGTTCAACATCTTGAAGGACCTGCGATGCCCAAAAAACCCCTCCCACATCAATCTTCAGTGAAAAACTTCTATACCTATTCCTTTCAATAATTTCCACAACCTCTCCGTAAGATCTCTCATCGACCTGACCAATAATTATCTTTTGCTCAATCTTCAGATCCAGCGCACGATCTTTGTACCTCTTCATGTTCCTCTCCCACTCAATAAGGAACTAGCATTCTTTTCAATATTCTTTTTTAACTATTTTAGTTTGGAACTAAAAAGTCTGATTTGGGAAGAATTTTTAGTTTTTTTAGTTTTTTTGATTTTTTTGTGAGAGAACGAATATAATAATTATGAGTTAGATGTGATGTTGTCTTATTACACTAAAAAGTCTATTTTTTATTTTTTTATTTTTGACTATTTTAATCAATAAAAACCCCAAAACCTACTTCCCTCTAAGTTTAGGATAAAAGCAAGGTACAGAGTAAAAAGATTCAGATAAATATTAAAATTTCTAAATGTGATCATTCTGGTTGTATTGAGTAGTGCCAAGCGTGAGGCTACATTTAAGTGAATGGTGTCACTACAATTTGAAGAAATAAAAATTAGCAAAGTAAAATTATACAGTGTTGTTGAGAGAGTTACAAAATGAGTCCAGTGGTTAATTCACGTGCCTCTTAATTTTGTTTCCACTTCATGTTTCTAATGATTTTTTTGGACAATTTGACCCTAAAGAAACTTAAAAAACATCCCAATCCTTTTTATATATAGACTTAGCCGTGTACAATTTTGATTAGCTTATCCTAAACCTTGGTCGTGGGCGCGGGCGCTACTGGCCAGGTGATGCGCTATCATGGGCTAATCTTGGCTTTCATAATTCGTTTGGCAAGATGGTTTGTGACCAAAATAGTCACAAAAGACAACATAGGCTATTTTAGTCACAACAAACAAAATATCACATCTAACCCATAATCATTACACTCTTCTCTCACAAAAAAAGTCAAAAAAGTCAAAAAATCCTTCCCAAACCAAACTTTTTAACTCAGGCTAAAATAATCAAAAAAACCAAAAATCAAAAAGTCAACCCACTTCCCAAACCATCCTGCTTAAGATATTGGTGTACACCTCAAACAGTTTTTACCTATATAATACTATGTTTTTATGTGTTTGTTTTTACACGTAATTTGATAAATTTAAATTATTTGTGTCGAGGTTAATGGAAATATATTATAATATTACCGTGATAGATTTCGCAAAACTAAAAGTCTAATAATGATGATACCTTATTGAATGACTCAACTAAATGAAATTACAGGCTACGCAACTGTTTTTCTGAGTATAAAATGCATGTTTCCTAGTAAGACGCTAACCTCACATTCTTCTGATAATGGAGCTTCAGTTTTCATCACCATCTCTCCTCTTGGCCTTCCTGCTCTTCATTTTCATGGTACTCAAAATCTTGATCAACACAACCAAACCCAATCGCTCAACTTTAAAGCTCCCTCCAGGGCCATGGCAACTACCTCTCATAGGAAACATGCACCAGCTTATTAGCTCATCGCTAACCCACCAAACCTTGACAAACTTGGCCAAAAAACATGGACCCTTGATGCACCTCCGCCTCGGTGAAGTCTCCACCATCGTTGTCTCCTCCCCAGAAACCGCCGAACAGGTTATGAAAACCCATGACCTCATCTTCGCTCAAAGACCTTACCTTCTCGCTTCTCGGATTATATCTTACAATTCTACAAACATATGCTTTGCCCCATACGGTGATTACTGGAGACAACTCCGAAAGATTTGCATAACAGAGGCTCTGAGCTCAAAGCGCGTCGAAACGTTCCGGGGAATTAGGGAAGAGGAGGCGATGAATTTTGTCAGAGACATTTCGTTGAACACAGGGTCGGCAATCAATCTGAGCAAGAGAATTTTCTCGCA